TGAAAGCGTAGAAACTTTTAAAAACTTGGTAGAATTTGACCATTCTTAAAAAAACTATTTTAATTTAATATGCATCCTGCCAAATATTCTGATTACTCTTTCGGATTGTGTGTAATTATTTAATTTTGCAAGTCTTGGGTCAGTTAAGTGATTCTGTGGCCTGTAGGAGCCACTCTGCCAAAGCCTGGTTTAGGGATCTGTCTTCTAGGCTTCCTGACTGATCACTAAGAGTAGTTGGACCTCCCGTTCAGCCCAATCTGCTCTTAGAAACAGAAGCTTGAGCCTGGCTGCTCTAACAGGAGCTGCCTACTCAAAATACTAATTTCTGACAGAATACCTCCCTGTTTCCCACTCTTTCAGCTTCTATTTCTTGTGATCTGCAGATCTGAATTAGGTGAAAAGAATGGCATATATGAATCTCATGACTCATTGGAATGCATGTTATTAGGATCAGATGGGGTATGAGGGTGCCATCACTTTGTCTTGGCTCACAAGAACATGTATACCCAGAATGTTAATCCTGAGAGAATATACACACAGGCTGACAAAAAGGTTTTGCAGCTGATACATTCTGGGTAATTCTTAAATTGGTCTGCAGCTGATCCATTTCAGAGAACCTTTTAGCCTAGAGAGATTGCAGGATGCAGTCCAGTGGTAATTGTACCCGTTTGTCTAGAATCAAAATCACCTCAGGGTTTCCAGACTGCTCCATTTGAATTAAATCCAAACAGAATGTTGGGAATTGTAATCCAACATAACTGGAAAGAATCAGATTACAGAAGGTAAGGTGGGTGGCTCCTAACAGGAACATTGAGCTGTTTTAAGTCTGCCCAGACTGCAATTGTTAATGCAGTTGCAAAAATATATATAAAAGAAAAATTATTCAGTCTAACGGCTCTGACCCTATCAGTTCTTTCTTACTATCAATTGCTCATGTCTTACTCATTGTACTTACTATTGGTCTGTATAAATGGCAGAATTGCACCTAGTTTTAAACAGGGAAGCTCATAGGTAAATTTGCAGAGGGAGTGGGATTATGTTTTACCAATTTCTAGCTGTTCCTATAATAGTTCTGATAGGGGAAAATATAATTCTATTGTCCACCATTTCTTTCTGCATAGCTTTCTTAATGAAAATGGGGAATTACAAAAATATATTAACTGCGTATTGCATGAAAACCTCCTCCAAAATAAGCTCATTCGTTCATCTGTTTATTTTGTCAATTATGACTTTATATTTTGAAAGCAAGGTGGAAGGGAAGCCTTCAATTGAATTAACTGGATGCTGGACCAGCTGTGTGACTCTGCTTGCATAGCAGGACTGTTGAATCCTTGGTGTTTATTTACTAGTGTGGAAGTGGAACTTTGCGGCAAGTTGTAGTCAAATAGAAGCACCCACTGCAAAAGCTTTTTCAGAAAACTTACAAATGACCTCCTATTATAGAAAAGAGTTTCAGAATTTTGCTATTTCTTTTATGGATGTCCACTTCTGTTGCTTAAGTTACTTGGACATTGCAGAATGTGCACTTCAAAGGAATTTGCAGATTGTGTATTTCAGTATGAAAGATAATACTAAAGAAATTTGCATTTTTTCCTTCTGAAATCTAATTTAAATAATGTAGGATTACATATGTGCAACTTAAGTTATAGCAAATTGTTGATCATAGCAAATTTTCATTATGGTTCTGGAGTTGAAGCCTAAAAGATGGCAGTTTTTGAAACATTGGACTTTTGCTTTTTCTGAAAAGGACTGCTACAGTCTTCTGTCACAACTTTTAGATCTTTATTCTTGTATCACAACTTTAGATGTTTAGGAAATGGGTGTCTGGTTCAAAATATGGTAGAGAGGACTCCTTAACCCTCGCTTGTGCTTACAATTCACTTCCTTATGGCTCCTAAGCACAGGAGGATTATTTCAACTGCAGTTCTGATATATTTTTTCCCTCCAGGTGACATAATTGCACAGTAAGAAGTCAACGTACCAGCAAAAGGTCTGAGATATGACTGGAATGAGTCAATGGACAGAATTTGATAGCTCATGAAAAGTGGTAGCCAATTAATACTTTCCACCTAAGACCCCTTTTACTATTTCCTTTGCGCTGTTTCTTTTTGTAACCCATTCACCTGAACCAATTTCAGAACAACTGTCTCCAGCTGGTCTTCAAACTACCCCGCACAATTACTTAAAGCTACTTAAAACAACTACTCCTATTACTCCAAGGAGACATAGTTAGACTTTAGTAGCACAATGCATAAAGAGTTCTACAAAGGAATCAAGATATTTGTTGTTAAGGTGTTTGCATTGGGTCCTAAATTTTTTTATTTTTTTTAGAAAAGGGAAAATCTGTGTATATGTTTTACTGCAATTGGGAATTGACCCTTTAAACTAGCCTGCAAATTTCTTGGTATAACAGTAGGTTTTATTGCAATTATGAACCAATATAACATTAAGCCTCATAATAACATTTCCTTTTGAAGTGGTGGGATGTAATGTAATAACAATATGTTCTGCTATACTTCCTTCTGTCCCTCAAGCTAGATTCATGACTAATTCATGAGATTTTTGAGGGCAGAGTCTGAAATAATGGGTTCAATTTCATCCAGGGGAGCGATAAAACTTTTTGCAAGGCAATGTGATATTTGTGGTGTTAACTGTCTAAGTGATTTTTATTGATGATGACAGATGGTTCTGTGGTGATGCACTCAGAGTCACGCCTAATATGTTCAGAATAAGTCTTCTGGAAGGCTGTACATCTGTTTTTAAGATCTTTTGCTAAAATATTTAAATCAAGGTCATTGTTTATATTTGATTTCTAAGCAGCTTTTAGCTATTGGCCTGCCATTTTATACATTTAAAGATGAATCTGCTTGTAACTTCAAGGGCTGCAAATGGAAAGTTATAATAGGTAGCAGGTGTTAGGAAAGGCAATTATGCATTAGGTGCTTTGCTCAATTTCCAAAACTGTCCAAGACTATCCATTTGAAATGCTTTATACCCTAGTTTTATCTCTGAACTATGATGAATTCTCAGATCTAAAGGGAATATGCATTTTCCTTTAATGAACTGAATGCTTAAGCCTATTTGATTTAATTTAAAAGAGCCAAGGCAAACGGTACTGAAAAACAATGTGAAAACAGGAAATATCAAGAATAAATTTAGATCTTTGGCACAGTTTGCTATTTTATTTCCATTTCTTAGAGTGAAAAAAAACTTTGATACAGCTTGTATAGAGAGAATGGTATTTAGGCCTTGGCATAAAGGATTATTCAAAGTTTCTCCTGAAGTTTTGCTCAGTTTCTTTGACTTTTGCCAGATGGTGTTGGATTAAGACTGAAAAAAATGGTTTCTTCTTTTTCCTGCTCCCAAGAACATAAAAGATATACTAGTTCAGATCAAAAATCCATTTTAAGCCATCTTACATAGTCAGCTTGAAATTCTGAAAATTATGCTTTTCTTTTGCCCTGAATCTCCTGTCAGTTTTGTTGGGTGTAACAGTAGTTAAAAGCTCTGTTTCTCTATGGTTTGGATAGATTATTGTCTGTTTTCATGCTATCCCTTTAGCAACGGCCTAATTCTTCTCCAAGTCTTTGCCTTATACTCTAGAGAGGTGTTAAGTTCCATTTGAATTGGGTCATCTACAGATATCATGTTATAATTGGGTCAGGCATTGGGATAGGAACCCAATGTTGTATGAACTGTCAAACTCAGACAATGGTTAGGTTAAAGGAGGAATTGATTTTAGACCCAGATAGCCTCATGAAACTAAGACTTACTGTGTGTTACAGAAAAGTCTAAGATAGTTAATATTCTTGCAAAGAGGCAGATTCCTAGAGCAGTCCTTTTTTTTAATTCCCATCTTCTTTCTGCAACAATGCAGAATGGTTGTGATTCTGATGAAACATTAGGAACTTTTTTTTCATTTTGAATTGTTTATGAGATGTGACTTTTGGGTAAGACATGCTCTTTTTTACTATAGAAGAGAGCATCCTTCTGTTATGTAATTTCCTGGACATAACTTGATTATGAATGTATTGTCATATTGATCACTCCTGATTCTAGAAACTTTAATAATGATCTTTCCCAGCAAGCTCATGTTGATAGGTTGGGGATTAATAACAGACCCTTTAGATATTTCCTCCCAAAACTACATTCCGTAGTTTTTCTTACCAGGGAAGAATGCAGCCAAAATGCAGGGCAAAATAGGGAAGATGGTATAGAACAGGGGTGTCATACTCAAGGCCCGGGGGCCAGATCTGGCCCATGAGTTGCTGAGATCTGGCCTGTGAGGCCACCCTGAAAACAATGAAGCACTGGCCATGGTGTCTCTGCTAGCAAAAATGGAGCTCGGAAGGGCTACCTGCGGCCCTCCCAAGTTCCGTTTTTGGTGACAGAGGGTTGCAGGAGGCCATCGCAGCCAAAAACGGAGCTTGGGAGCCCATTTACGCTGGTAGAGCGCTCAGGCCACCATATACGCCCCTGACATGAGTGACGTCAAGCTGGCCACGCCCACCCCAGCCCTCTGAAATCAAATACAACCCTGATGTGACCCTCAATGAAACTGAGTTTGACACTCCTGGTATAGAATGATGCATTGTTTCAGAAATCATCAAAGCTAAGAAGAACTTATTTATGAAGGCCATTGACTCTCCCCTAGCAAAACTTGCCCATGAAGAAAAATCACAGCAGTTTTCTTCCCTAAAGTTGAAGCCAGGAGGTTTCCTTGATGCTCAATAACAAAGCTTATTGGTGGATATTATGCTTTTTATATACTCATATAAGCTTGTGATTCTTGGATAGCATAGTTTTATTTATTCCTATTTTCTCTACACCAGTCAAAAGGCTTTTATTTGGAATCTGATTCGCTAATTAATCGTGACAATTACATGTTAAAAATGAGGCAAACAACAAAAACATTTTCTGATCAGTATTGAGTTATCTACTCAAATGTATTTTTATGTTGAATATATATATATATATATATATATGCTTTATTTTAACAGTCTGAACCCGAAGGTTTTTCCCACTTCCATCTGTATGTCTGTGCTGCCTTCCTTGTCAGATGGAAAAAGGAAATCCTTGAAGAAAAAGACTTCCAAGTAAGTAAAACATTTTTATTTTTACTAAAAAAGGATATTTTATTTTATTTTTTTAAAAAATACCTTCATTAGTAGCAAAAGACTTCCATTTTTACTGGGTTTCAACAGCCTTGGATACATTTTGGATGCTTTTCTGTATTTCTCTTGCTGAGTTTAAAATGAAAGGAAAGTACAAAGTTGCAGCTGAATATTTTTCCAATCGTCCTTCTCCTTGTGTTGGATGAGGCAACATCAAGATGGTGTGAAAAAAAGAAAAATATGGCTACTAGGAGCAGGAAAACTTCATTTGATACAATTCCAGCACAGCAACTTTCATGTCGAAAAAAAATTAAGCGGAAGGAAGACAGTTTTGATAATTGGTAAAAACTAATTAACCTGGCCATATGGGAAGATAAAGGAAAAAAGATCTAATTATGTTTAAATGGAGCCCAGAGAGTGATCTGCCCCATGCAGGCAGAGAGAATGCCTGTTTTCATTGTCCTGAAGTATCTATATTTCTCCATGGACATGAGGAGGAGGAATGTTGAAATACAATTTTATAATAACTACTTTCTTGTTCTTTTTGTCCATTGATCTGTCAAAAAGTTCTTTATGCAACCATGTTGGTTTCATTTGGGATCTATTTCTTTTCTCCCCCCACCCCCCACCATACTGTGTTTGATTGGCTTTAATAACATTTTTCAGAGTTTCCTAAGCATCTTCAGTTGTTTTTCCCTATAAGATTTATCTCCATGGAATCCTTCCTAATTTATGTCTTAGTTTCTCGAAGTCAGCTCTCTTGGAGTCTAGAACACTAGTTTGATTTTGTTCCATTGTTTCTGCCTGCATTATGTTGAGTACTATGACCGTATCCTAGTGCGACAGAGTCACTCTCTCAACAAAGTTCTCGCAACCTCCACCTGTCGTATCATTTGATCCCTGTTAGTAGGAGTTAAAGGCAGTATAGCTGACCCTTTGTTTCCCTCCTATACCATTTGGCTGACAAAGTTGTCAGCTGGGCACGACAGGAGCCTGGTGCAGATTTTGTCTCCCAGTTGATGTCAGGGTAGTTAAAGTCCCTCATTGCTACAGGGTTTCTTGCACACCTTATTTAACTGACCAGCAAATAGTTCATCTGTATCCTCTGCCTGGTTGGGCATACCTGTAGAATATACCTGTAGCAATTTTTCTTCTAATGTTCACCCAAATGCATTCAAGAGGGCTTTTATCCCTGGTATTTGTACTTCTGTAGACATGTAGTGATTCCTTACATACAAAGCAACTCCTTCTCCTCCTCTTTTGTTGGGTCAGTTTCTTTTGAATGGTTTATATCCTTCTAGCAATAAGTTCCACTCAAGGGTTCCATCCCACCAAATGTTGGTAATGATGCAATATCATGCCTGCTCTCATGCGTTAGAATTTCAAGTTTTTCCTGTTTGTTCCCAAAACTCTGAGCATTAGCATACTGGCATTTGAGCGTATTATGACTAACCCCGTGTTTGCTTCCTACGTCCCCTGTTTTATATCTGAGTCCCACCTCCTTCTCAACACTTCCTTTTTTAATTGTCTGATTTATTGTGTTGTGGTTTGTGCTTGGGGTTTGGCCTTAAAGATGGGTCACCCTCTCCTTCCATTTCTAATCTAAAGCCCTGCTGATGAGCTGAGCCAGTCGTTTTTCCAAACATTCTTCCCAGTCCTTGTGAGAGCAAAGCTGTGATGGCTTTGCTTTCTCACCCTCACAGTAGAGAGGAAACCCTGTGAAAGGGAAAGAGGTGGGATCATTGCAGGGCAGCGCGTGTTCTGACCAAAGCTTCTGAGACTGTAATTACGCACACACTTATTTTAAAAACAAGTGCTTTATTGCAACACTGGGAATTGTTTTCATTCCCAGCGAGTAACGAATTTCAAACAGTCCCTCAAGATAAGCACCTACCTTTCTTTCTTGTGAAGTGCTGCCAATAACAGAAGTGTCAAATGAACTAGAAAAGAAACTAACCGAAGTACAAAGACCTTCAAGAATGAATCTGAACCGAGCAAACGACTTTGCTTCCTGCAAAGGTTTCATCATCATTGCCTGTCCTTTATACCTGATGGGAGGGGCAATCATCTCCCAGCCTTACTCCTGAATCACCCCTTTTTGTTTCAGCTGCTCTCGACTTCTAGCAGCTCTGAGCACATGCACACTGGGAACAGGCTCCCCTGGGTCCTCTACCTCGCTGCTGCCAGACTCCAGAGGCTCCGGAGGCAGCACCCCACTCCCAGATAGTCCTGGCCCCATCTCTGAATTGGACACAGGACCCTCGTCCGAGTCCTCTCCAGACTCCCTGACTAGTCCCCGTTCTTCCCCACTGTCTGATTCTGTTGCCAGCTGCACCGGCTGCCTGCAAACCACAACGGTGAGGCTGGACCAGTTCTGGTAGCAATGGGATCTGGGAATGAGTGCATTGTTCCTTGCTGGCTTTCACCCAAATGCTCAGCCTCTCGCTCAACTCAACAGAAACTTCCAGTTGTCATCCTGGAGCCATCACTATGGCCACCTAGGTTTATTCTCTCACCTGTGTTGTTAGGTATAACATAAGTCACCTAACATAGTTTGGGTAAAATAATATATATATAAGCTATGATTGTTAGGTTAAGTGTCTGTCACTTTAAAAACTGCAAAGCATGTAATTTGGGTGTGGTGTGAAACCACCATAAGAGGGAGCAAGAACCCTGATTGACTGCTGACGAGACGCTGACAGTTTGCTGGCAATTACTGACAATTACTGGATTGGATTACATTGTATGGTTTGTTAGCTGCGTTTTTCCCCTACTGAAGAGTTGCTGATAAGAAGAGAGGAGTTTCTGAGTTTTGCATATCTCTCTACTGCGAGGAGATATATCACCGGACTGATATTTGTAAGTGTACTGACCTCTCTTTTTCGACACTGCAATTTGCAAATGAATAATCCCTGGACGGACTGAACTAAGTGAATGATATATGGACTGTTCTGACTATGCTTTAACTCTTGCTGGAATAAAACTATTTAATTAGCACTTGTATCTGTTTTACTGAGTGTAAGCTACAAAAAACACTTATCTCACATATTTTGCCTGCCTGCCTGACTGCCCTGCAGATCTTGCTAGGGTATATCCCTAACATGTGTTTTCAACAGTGCCAAGCTTTTAATTCCAACACTGCATTTTAAATTCTTCATCTATCCTTAAAAGGGTTGATGCCATAGCACTTAGACTTATATACTGCTTCACAGTGCTTTACAGCCCTCTCTGGGCAGTTTACAGCATCCCCTACAATCTCCTTTTACCGACCTCGGAAGATGGAAGGCTGAGTCAACCTTGAGCCAGTGAGGATCGAACTGCTGAACTGCAGGCAGCCGACAGTCAGCAGAAGTAGCCTCCAGTACAAGAATAAGAGAAGAACAGGCTATACCTCATGACACGAGTAAGAAGAGTTTGGAATCCAGATAGCAACTCAAAGCTATTTAGTTTATAATGTATTTTTCCATCATTAGCCATAGCTCCAATGGTCTGTCAGGGTGCAGGATGTCAGGGTTGACCCATGTAGCTGTTAAGCACAATTAGCTCTAAGGTTCTTGATAGAAAAATGTTTTTTTAAAAATTCTTATCTAGCAACTTTGTGGAATATACGTGACTGCTGTAAGTGAACTGTTGCCTTTTGTGGCTTAAAGTTGCCTTCAGGGAAGATGCAAAGCCTGCATTCACATTTTATTATATTAGCTTTATGTCATCTACCCTTTCAGAGGCTAGAATTCTCTTTCTATGCCAATTAAATGGGCTCATTTAAAAGATTGTTTTATGTGTCAGCATTTGCAGTGTAAAAGTTCATTGTGAAACTGCAAAAGCATATTTTTGACTGGTTATATTCTTAGTTGGTATGTTTCTAAAGTACACCGAAAGGCCTGCCAAGGACTGATTGGATGTATTTTATCGATTTGTTTAAATGCTGCCATTATTATTCACTACAGGCAGGTAGCTAATTGGATAATCACTGTAACATAGCAACCCAAGAAGCATATCGCCAACGTATTAGTTTATTTTCTTTCTAAAGAGCTGCAATTATAGCAATTTTGGGGTGAAAAGGTGGCTTGGAAAAAAAAAACCCAGAGGGGTTGAAAAGGAGAAAAGTTATATAGCCTAATATTCACCTCAGGGCGTTCAGATCATTCTGCTAACACTGCTTTGTGCAAGATTTTATTTTCAATCCCACTCTGTTTCAGTGTTTGTGATCCTCACATTTTAATCCCAAGCGTACATTTAGTATGTAATGCTACCTTTCTGCACTGTTCAGCAGTATAATAAAATGCGGATCCCATAGATTCTCTTTGAAAGGCCAATATTTTAATATGATTTGGTCAATGCTGTTACCTTTGCAGTGTCATTGATCAGCTCTTGGAATTTGCCTCAGGAATGTTTTCTGGGTGTCTGAAATGAGCATATGTGTAATTAAATGCGTGGTAACCAAAAGGATTTGTTACTATTAATGCTGGGTTGTTTTTTTTAATTGAAATAACATGTTTAATATGGGTTAATGTCCCTTAGATGATTGTATTCACTGAAGGTTTTTGTGGTATTTGAATGTAGACTAAAGAGGCCGCAAGGTAAAATGAGGTCAAATAGATGTCTTGGAGGAAGAAGTGAGGTGACCAGGAGACCCTCAAAGAATATATCAGTGCCCTCATTTAGCGACTGCCTTGTTTAGCAACCATTTGCAATTATAGTGACAAAAAAGTAAGTTTGTCACCATTGTCCACATTTGCGACATTTTCCTATAAACCATAAGAAAGCTGAAGTGAGATCATAAGCACCGTTGCCGTTTTACTTAGTGAATGCTTGGCTTGACAACCAAATAGCTGGTCTAAACTGTAGTTGCTAAACGGGGACTGTGTATTTTGATCTTATAATCTGTTTTGGTATATATAGCTGCAGCTGAATTTTTCTGATTCCCATTTCTCATTTGTACGCATTTATAACAGATCGAGGCATTTGGGTCATTTGTGGCT